CACCAGTGCAAAAACTGCCCCTTACTCTAAGGCGAACAAGGGAGACAGACTCCCGGCTCACGCACCACCTAGAAAACAGACACCACACTCTAGGTACAGTGCTGAAACAACCACTGGAGCCAGAGCACATAACCGTTGCCTATAGCATCAGCCGAAGAACTGATGGGTGGATAGCCGGCGTGGGAGGTCTGGGGCTCCCCCTTCCCCTCCCGGGGAGGGGGGAGCTGCGCAGACAGCAGCGCGGTGACGTATGACGTCATACTAGTTTCCTTGTTTTCTGTTGAAGAGTTCTATCCACTAGTTTGGCTTTAGGTAGCAATTTTCACCAGAATAGGGGTTTTGTTTTGGAATGCTTACCTTTCTGGCCGTGGTCTCCGGTAGGCCCTAGAACTCCATACACATGACTGATGCCAAAGTCTGACATTAGCATATCAACGGTAAAGCTCCGGGGAGCCGACGGGGCTCCCCCCAGAAAACTACGAAAAATCAATCAGAGACATTGAATAATTAGGTAATTATCTCTTTGTGGCAACTCCTGCCTGACAGCTGGCAAGCAACAGACCGTCTGGGATGCACACTGAGTCAGCGTCTGTTTTTTACCAGACTTCCCCACCCTATAGCGGGTAATATATGCCACTTACGATTTTTTATTATTTTTTCCATGATCAGAGAACACAAATTAACAGGTTTAGAAGAAAAAAATTTTTTTTTTTTGGTATGCGCCTGTGAGTGACACATGCTAAATAGCCCGGAGCCACACAAGGGTTAAGACCTTGGTCCTGTCTGTTGTTGATCATTGCAATTTTTTGGTCGTTTCTCATCCCAACTACTTTCTCTTTCAATTCTTTCCCGTGTGTTCATAGTCTTCCTATTTTTCTTGGTCATTACTACCTGAAATGGCCTGGAGTCGTGTTGTACGTCATCCTTACTCTCTGACTCTGTAGACATAGCAAAGGTTCGCTCCATTTCCTTGATAAGCAAGAGTACTGGTTTGCTATATTGGTTAGCACAAGTCCACAACCTCCAGGAGTGTTCCCGATTCATGTCCGGCTGTCACAACACTGGGTAAAAACTGGTACTAGGTAATGTATATACTGGACTGCAGCATGAACATAACCAGTGACACCCCACCAGCCTATGATGTCTCAAACAGGGGTAAAGACGGAGGGTGAAAAAACCTAGACTCGTCCTAGAGCAAAAACTACCACAAGTGAGGTGAACCTCTCAAGGAATGTCCGCAAACACTACAGGGAAGATAAATACTGTAACCCCGCGATTATCCGGGATTCGAACATTTGGAAAATGCCCTTATACTGCCAAAATCGTGACCGGATAAAGTTATCTCGATATCCAGCCAAAATGGCCATGGGAGCCGGATAAAAAATTGGAGCCGGTTAACTTGCTGCCGATGTTACACTATCCGGACAGTCAGCCGGATAATCATTGAATTGTCTGGATATGAAAGCCATGGGGTGGGCCATACCATATTAATCCCATCTGCCTGTGGCTCGAGACGCATGGTGGAGGAGGGGGGTGGGGTGGGTGGGTGGTGTCGGGAGGGTGGGAGGGGAGCATCGGGAGGGACCACCTGGGTACAGGAATTACCATTAATTTTAGAACAATTCATCATAGCCAAAAACAAATGAAGTAAGTACTAGTAATTATGTAATAACAAATATATAAGTTTCCTAAAAACAATGTGCACAGGCTGAAGTTTCCTTCAAAAATAGAGTTTTTTTCCCTCCTGGCGGCCTACATAGCGTGCTATAGCTGCCCCAAGTGGACCCGTCCAACATTGGTCAACCCATGTACTCCCGTCCCTCGTGTTATAACACAGTGCTGTGCCATTAGTGAAATATTTTTTTAAATAACTTTTATTTTCATAGTAACTTTGAACATTATTAGCCAAGACTATGTCTGGTAGCAGCATCAATCATACTGGAGGTGTTAAGAGGAAGAAGGTTGTCCTAACAATTAAAGACAAGTTACTGTTATACACCTCAACCAGTGTAGAGTCACAGTGCTGCGCCATTAGTGAAATATTTTTTTACATGAGTTTTTTATTTTCATAGTAACTTTAAAATTTTTTGGCCAAGACTGTCTGGTAGCAGCATCAATCGTTCTGGAGGTGTTGAGAGGAAGAAGGTTGTCCTAGCAATTAAAGGCAAGTTATGTGTTATACACTTCAACCAGTGAGGCGTCACAGGCAAGCCAAATGCTTTCAACAAGTGAGGTGCCACAGGCAAGCCAAGCGCCTTCAACAAGTGAAGCGCAAGCAAGCGCCTTCAACAAGTGAGGCGCAAGCAAGTGCCTTCAACAAGTGAGGCATTACAGGCAAGCTAAATGCTTTCAACAAGTGAGGCTTCACAGGCAAGCCAAGCACCTTCAACAAGTGAGGCGCAAGCAAGCTCCTTTAACAAGTGAGGCGTCATAGGCAAGCCAAGCACCTTTAAGTGAGGCGCAAGCAAGCGCCTTCAACAAGTGAGGCCTCACAGGCAACCCAAATGCCTTCAACCAGTGAGGCTTCAGCAGCTGGCAGTCAAAACTAACTTTCCTTAATGAACTGTACAGTAATTTTAAGTGTTAATTGTAGTGTTGTGTTAGTATAGGTTACGTAAATTGTTAAGAATTCTTAACTTCAAGATGTGTGGCATCAATCAAGAAGACGAACACCAACAAGGTAAGTTGAGATTTCTAGTTGAATATTTAATAATTATATGTGGCAAGGCAATTCAAATTATGGTGTTTGTAGTATAAAAATAGTTGGAAATGGTCACGTTTGAACTCGTAGGTGAAAAAGTACCATTATCCGGAACACGTGATAATCTGGCTGGGGGTCCTTCCCATATAGTCCGGATAATCGAGTGGAGACAGTACTATGAAGTGTGTTAGTTTGTCGAAAGGAGAGTTTTACGCCAGGAAAACAAAGAGTATTAATGAGATTTTGGGTTCAGATATGAAGGGAAGGCACAACAGTGATACTACTGCTGGAAACAGGTTAGGGATGAAAGAAATTTCTTTTAGTTTGAGAACAGGTATAATTTATAAAATGTAAGGGGTAACCAAGGCGAGAGTGTCTCAATTAGGTTTCCATGCAACTTTGAAATTGATAGAAGGGGCCAGATTGTTAAGAGAGGAGAGGAAAGGCTGGAAAAGACTAGAATCATGAGGCCATAGAGTAGAAATGTCATCAACACAGCGAAGCCAGAGAGAGGTACAGTGTCAATAGTGGGAAGAAGAACAGTTTCAACGTACTCCATATAGAGATAGGCAAGAACAAGGGAGAGAGAGGGAACCCATACCAGTTTGAACCCATAACATCTGAAAGTTTGAGAGAAGTATTTAGCATTGAAAGAAAAGGTATTAGAATTAACACAGACTCAATAGTCAACAGAGTTGAATGAAAATGTCAGTAAGGAAGCAGGAGATGAAGAAGGCTGTCAGTTGCCTTCTGAGAAGGAAAAAGGAAAGGAATCATTATGAGGAACATTAGTAAACAGAGAATGAACAAACACTAAGCATTTTGCAGAGGGGCTGCAAGTGCAATCTTTCAATGAGTCCTGAGTGACAAAAGTGGGCAGGAGTAAAAGTACCAAGATAACGAGCGAGTTTTGACAAGACAGGAGGCAAGAAGATAGCCGACAGAGGCTCTTGAAGAATTGATAGGACAAAGAGGAACACCAGGTTTGTGAGTTTTAGGTAGAGCATAGAGATAAGGGAGAGAAAGACAAATGACAATGGAACATTTTATGAGATCAAAGTCAGGAGGACAGAGACTAGAGAGCTGTCTTAGTTTATGGTTAAAAGAAGTTTTAAGATGATCCAAAAGGTTAGAAATCAGAGGAGCATATGTATCGGAGCCAGAGAGCAAAACATCAGCCATTCAAAATAGCTCACATGATTAAGGACAATCACCGCATTGCCTTTGTCTAGATAACAATAGAGTTCTTAGCTTTCAGGGAGGCAAGGGAAAGCTGAAAGTGACAAGAAAGGTGGTGATTTTTAAAAAGCAAACTAATGAGAGAAAGGATTAGAGCCCCCCCCTGAAGGACAAAAGGTCCAAAATAGTACTAAAATTGTGAAACTGATCGAAGGAACTAATGAGAGCAATGCCACAACGAGGGCCAGACAAAGTAGCGAACGAGAAACCAAGAGCAAGTAGTCCTTGCTGGTAGAGAGAGAGAGTGGAAGAAAAGGTTGGTAACACAGTCAGAAATAGAGAATTTACCCCAATTTACCCTGCTGAAAATTAGACGTAGACATTTGTTGGGGTGTTGTGGACAAAGGGTGGGAAGTGGAGAGGCAAGCAGTGTCAAAAGCAATGGGGAAATAAGAGAATACACAGATCACTGGGAAGAGAAGAAAACAAAATGCACTGATGTTGACATACTGTTAGAAAAGCATCGTCAACTTGCAAGGTAGCGGAGAAAATAAGTTCTTGAAGAAGGCTGCGGGTATGTTCAGGAAAACAAGAACCCGGTGTTGAATTGGAGAAAGTCAGAAAAGGAATGATGGAGAAATTGTCTTGCAAGATGAGTATGTGTGTATCTTACTTGCTTGTCTTATTCATTTGTCTCTTCCACACACTATTACATACTTGAAAATGGTCCAGGATGGACTGAAATGTCATCCTTTCTTCATTTTCTGATATGTGGTTTGATCGTCACATTGATTGCTTTGTTTTCCTTGTTGTTCAATTCTTTCTTTCAAGTAGTAACTTGTTTTGTTTCTCAAGCTTTTCTGGTGAGTTTTCCTAGTGTTGGGTATATCACAGGTGCCCAAGCTTCCCCTCACCTCATAGATCGAGCCAGACTTTGGTCCTGGCTCCCGATAGATCAGCTTGGGTCAAAAAATCCTTATGAGTTAGCTATATAGAATGCAATTACCAGAGAACTACAGAAGAAGCCTTTCCAGAAATATTTAAAAAATTTATGAATGACTGTACAGTATTAGAAAATAATAAAGTTGGTTCGTTAATAGATGATTCACTCAAAACTTACGTGGAGCCGTGGAATGTTTGGATCAACAATATAATCAAAGAACTGGCATGATGCCCCAGGACATTGGGTTTGATTAAACTCTTCATATGTGCAGGTATCATTTTCCTGAAAAGAGAAACATTTTCCATGAGCAGAAGAGAGGAATGAGTAGAGGCACAGTCCTAATCAACAGCATATTATCAATAAGAAAAAGATAATCACTGACTAAATAGAAAGTAATTGTCTCTCCACCACTTAATGTAGTCCATTTGTTCTTTGTCCTAACACTGAAAAAATATTTCTAATATATCTGTGGCTCATTTGGGTACTCAGTTATCATCTGTCCCCTCATTTACGCACTACCTGTGCTAAATACCCTGTCCTTGTTTACCCTGTCTCTCCCTGAGTATGTATTGCATAAGTGGTCACCAGTGGTGGCAGTGTGTGATTGTATTAGTAATGATGGAGTAGTTAATGTAATGTCTAGTATGTAAGGGGCTACCTTTTATTTGTAGTAATTTTAAACCTTTCCTATTAAATGTTATTTTTTTTTTTTACTTTTATTTATAACAATGTTAATTTATTTTATAAATTAGTACAGGTATTTGGAGGTGTTTATCAAGTTCCCCATTGAACACAGAGAGGTTGGCTACATACGCCCCTTATGTACAGAGGGAGGGTGTTGGAAGGTCTACGGCCCTTAATATTGACAGAATTGTCTTTTAAGAGCACCCATTACACCTCTACTACACCACCAACCACATACCTGAGGTTTACCTGGAGAGGGTTCCAAAAGTTCTTCTACTCCCCAAGCCCAGCCTGGGCCAGGCTTGGTCTCTAGTGTTAAGTCAGTATTTTAAAAGGTTGTGGAGGCTATGAGGGATTGTGAAGTGTGTATGAGAGTCTGTGGAGAGTCAGTGGAGAGGTTGTCGAGTCAGTGGAGAGGTTGTCGATTCAGTGGAGAGGTTGTTGCGTCAGTGGAGAGGTTGTTGAGTCAGTGGAGAGGTTGTCGAGTCAGTGGAGAGGTTGTCGAGTGTTATGATCCCAGGCTGCCTGAGAAACGAGTTTACCCCCCGAGAGTTATTCTGCCAGACCTGACCTAACTGAGAGGTCAAAGAGATATAGACATGTGAACATATACTGTAAACACTTGGTTAATGTTGAGGAATAGTTAAAAGTATGGGCAGTGAATAAGGATATAAATAAATAAATGACTTGACATGAGATGTGGAGAAATTGCTGGAGGTGTGAGGCTCCAGCCAGTTAATTTTAAACCAGTTAACAGTGATTGCCTGTAGTTGGCCGTGTGCCCAGCGACCGAAGCGGGTGTTTATAGATGTGTTAGGCATATTTTATTAAGGCAGAAAGCCTAAATGAGAGAATAGAGATGGGGGAGACAGCTGGAGGGATGAGCGGCGCATCCCCTCTCGCTGAGCACTTGGAGACAACTGACCGGGCCGTCGAGTCTCGCAGGACAGAGAAACCTGCCGGCAGGGTGGAGGATGGATCCGTCCAATTGGGGGCGGGAGACCCCTCACATCATGTGGGAAGTAGGGAGATGTTGAATGGAGACATTTATTATGTGTAGTTTATTTTAGTTATATGTTTGTAGAAAAACATCTTTATTGGCGTGCCAATGGGTTGCAGGTTTGTCTGGGGAAAGGAGTTGCTGAGAGAACTTCGAGGCCAGTAGAGGAGGAGACAGTGGATGGAACTCCAAGGCTATTGAAGAAATACTGAGCTCTGTGGAAGAGCAGTTCCCATAGAGAGGAGTTGCACCTCAAGCTGTAAGAGGAGAAACAGTGGAGGGGAGTTTCACATGCTTCTGTGGTACCAGTGGTGAAGCACCATTGCTGTTTAAGGAAGACTTCATGGTGTAGCAGCCAGAAGAGCTGTGGAGGACCCTGGTAGAGAATTGTAGGAGAACCTTAAGATGTTCAGGGTTGTGAACCTCTAGGTCTAGAGAGGAGGTGAATCCCAAATGAATTTTTCATGGATACGATACCAACATCAAATCATATATCAGACGTCACCCTATCCCCACTGGATTTTGAAGAAGCCATAAACAGTATGCCTATGCACTGTGCACCAGGCCCTGATTCTTGGAACTCCATATTCATAACGAACTGTAAAAAACCACTATCACAGGCCCTCCAACATTCTGTGGAGACAAAGCCTAGATACTGGCGTTATTCCTGATATACTAAAAACAGCAGAGATAGCACCACTTCATAAAGGAGGAAATAAGGCAGAGGCAAAAAATTACAGACCGATAGTACTAACATCTCACATCATAAAAATTTTTGAGAGAGTGCTAAAAAGTAAGATCACAAAATACATGGAATCACAGCATCTCCATAACCCCAGACAACATGGTTTCAGAACAGGGCGCTCTTGCCTGTCGCAGTTGCTGGACCACTATGATATGGCATTAGATGCTATGGAAGACAAACAAACGCTGATGTAATTTACACAGATTTCGCAAAAGCTTTGATAAATGTGACCATGGTGTTATTGCACATAAAATGCGTTCAAAAGGAATTACCGGAAAAATAGGCAGATGGATCTACAATTTCCTGACCTACAGAACCCAATGTGTAATAGTCAACAAAATAAAATCCAGCCCTTCAACCGTGAAGAGCTCAGTCCCCCAGGGTACTGTGCTTGCTCCAGTACTTTTTCTCATCCTCACACTCTGTCCAAAGACCAGGATGGCTCAGGCGGCGCACGAGCAGGTCGGAGGTGAAACAACGCACGAGACAGCTTGCGCAACGGCGCAGAAGTAACATCGATACTGAAAGCAAGCTGCAGCGGCTCCGCCAGTGCCGCATGATACGAGGCGACAGTATTAGGCATCAGATGACGGTCCTGGAACAACCAAGAGAGAAACGACCACCACCCGAACTGAAAGCGAGGAACAACGACGAAGGGCCAAAAAGAACCGGAAGGACCGCCAAGAAACTTTATACTGCCGCCGAGAGGAAACCCGCAGGTGAGAAACCAACAAAGAAGCTACCTGCTCACTATAGAAATGGTGATAAACACGAGTCAAAAACACCAAACGCGAAGACTCGCATTGAAGAGCAAACCAGTCTCGTACCAGACCGGCCCGATCTCCTGAAAGAGGCTGAGCCGCGGAAAAACCTCCGGGTTCGGACACCGGGCCAGCAGCACCTGAAACAACGGCTGGGCCGGCCACCACGGGGCCAAGAGGACCACTCGAACCTGGTATGTCTCCAAGCGAGCCAGGACCTAGAGCAACAGCCAAGGTACAGTAACCCCCACCTTGACCAGTCCTGCCACAAGGCGTCGATCCTGACAGCCTCACAGTCGGGGAAGGGCACCACATAAATCTGAAGACGCCTCGACCCCGCCGACGCGAATAGGTCCACCTCCGGGCGCCCGAATGTTCGGCAGAGCCAACTGAAGGAGTCGGCGTCGACCATCCATTCCGTGGACAGGGGAACGAACCTGGTCAGGCCATCCGCCAGGACGTTGGACACCCCACGGACGTGAACCACCAGGAGAGCCAAACCTTGAGAATTCAGCAGGCGAGTCACCTGAAGCGACCAACCCCAAAGAGTCAAGGACCGCATCGAACCACCCTCGGTTCACGCAATGAACCACCGGGGAGCAGTCCGAATGGAGCCGGATCGTTGATCCGCGGGCTTCACGAACCCTCTGAAGAGCAAACCATACTGCCACAGCTGAAGGAGAGACTCTGGAGGAAGAGACAAGGAAGCGGTCCGAGCGTCCTACACAAGACCCAGCCAGGACCGAACCTGGGAGGGAACCAAACGGGACTTCTGCCAGTTCACCAGGAGCCTGAACCCGGCAAACTGGGAAAGCACCAAATCCCTGGCGAGCAGACACGAGGACCGATTGGGAGCCCAAACCAGCCAGTCGACGAGGTAAGCCAACACCCAAACACCGAACAGACGCAGACGGGCCACCATGACCCGGGTAAGGCATGTGACTATGCGAGATGCCAGATTCAACCCGAAGGGGAGACAACGAAAGCGGTAACACTGACGCCCCACAACAAAACCGAGTCAGTCCTGGAACCCCAAATGAATAGAGACGTGCCAATACGCGTCCTTGAGGTCCAGGGACACCATCCAAGCGACCGGCTCCAACAGAAGCCGAAACTGGGACAGAGTGCTCATCCGAAACCAGGGGCAAGAAACACAAGGGTTCAGATGGGACCAGTCCAGAATGAACCACAGGTCCGCACAGTCCCATTTCGGAACTGGAAACAGGCACCTGAGGGATGGCGTTGTTTCGACCATGCCCAAGCGAACCCACTCGTTTCGGGTCGTTTCTCACGGTCTGCAGTGGCGTTGGGTGGCTCCTCCTCCTCCGGGAAATTTGGGGCTGATAGGGCAGGCTTCATCTCCTGCGCTCCGTCGGGTCATCTTGGAGTAATTACCTAAGTGTAATTACCTAATTGTAGTTACAGGATGAGAGCTACGCTCGTGGTGTCCCGTCTTCCCAGCACTCTTTGTCATATAACGCTTTGAAACTACTGACTGTCTTGGCCTCCACCACCTTCTCACCTAACTTGTTCCAACCGTCTACCACTCTGTTTGCGAAAGAAAATTCACTTTCGGGTTGGCCCTTATGTACAGAGGGAGGGTGTTGGAAGGTCTACGGCCCTTAATGTTGACAGAATTGTCTCTTAAGAGCACCCATTACACCTCTACTACACCACCAACCACATACCTGAGGTTTACCTGGAGAGGGTTCCGGAAGTTCTTCTACTCCCCAAGCCCAGCCTAGGCCGGCTTGGTATCTAGTGTTAAGTCAATATCTTGAAAGGTTGTGGAGGCTATGAGGGATTGTGAAGTGTGTATGAGAGTCTGTGGAGAGTCAGTGGAGAGGTTGTTGAGTCAGTGGAGAGGTTGTCGAGTCAGTGGAGAGGTTGTCGAGTCAGTGGAGAGGTTGTCGAGTCAGTGGAGAGGTTGTCGAGTGTTATGATCCCAGGCTGCCTGAGAAACGAGTTTACCCCCTGAGAGTTATTCTGCCAGACCTGACCTAACTGAGAGGTCAAAGAGATATAGACATGTAAACATATACTGTAAACACTTGGTTAATGTTGAGGAATAGTTAACAGTATGGGCAGTGAGTAAGGATATAAATAAATGACTTGACATGAGATGTGGAGAACTTGCTGGAGGTGTGAGGTTCGCTTCAGGGGGGCCTTGACCTCATGAAGAAATCGTGAGGGGAGGTTGCGCTCCGTTGAGGCCCTGGTGAAGAACTCGTTTGATATACCTTCAAGAAGAAGGAAGTGTACGGACTTTTCGACTGTGGAATATGTCTGGAGACGTGTCAGCTCAAGTCGTGAACTGCAGAAAGAGTGTGGAGCAGTTTAAGGCAGTTCTGTGGGCAGCCAAGGGCGCCCTGTGTGCCGACCGCTCAGTCAATGAGCTCAGCGAGCGAACCAAAAGGAGGTTCTTAGTAACTACTTATATAGAGTTGGTAGAGTGTTTTGAGTGTCATTGGCGTGCATGATGCAAGAGGTGAGTGATTGGATATTTTTGTACTGAGGAATAATTATACAAATGTCTATAGTGTTACAGCCATAGGATTGATTTCCTTGTGTATATTTATTTATATATATTCTAGAGCTGATAGTGCCATATTGTATTACAAGATATAACCCACTTGGTGTGGATGGTAGCATAAGTGGCAAGCCAGGAGTTGGTCTACCACTAGATATAAGCAGCTGATAGAGCCCTGTTGAGATTGGATGCAACCTGATTATAATAGCAGAGAGTATTGGAGTCATTATTATATCTTGTATTTGTGTTGTATACGTTCTCTGTCCATTAAATGTATGTAATCTACAGGTGTTTGCCCTTGTCCTAGTGAGGCTTCCCAGAAAGAAGAAAAGAGAGAGAGAAAGAACCACAGCTGTGGACAGGGTGGTATAGAATTACAATTCAAAGAAAGGGGGATTGAGGTCATACAAAATAAGGAGAGAGTGGGGAGTCACAGCGGGTCGAATTGGGTGTGTGCACGTGACAACGAGGCTAGTGTTGGAGCCGCATCCCTTTAATGTGTGACACTGAACCCCTCTCCAAGAGCGGAAAGCATACAGGGTGATCTCCCGATCAAAGTATAAACACTCTACAGGTTTTGGTATGTTGTACGGTAGGGATGTACGCAACCTACCTACAACAACATAATACGAGTCAGTGGAGAGATTGTAGAGTCAGTGGAGAGGTTGTCGAGTCAGTTGAGAGGTTGTCGAGTCAGTTGAGAGGTTGTCGAGTCAGTGGAGAGGTTGTCGAGTCAGTGGAGAGGTTGTCGAGTCAGTGGAGAAGTTGTTGAGTCAGTGGAGAGGTTGGCGAGTCAGTGGAGATATTTTGGAGGTACTGTATATGGAAGGGAAGGGCACTATGAGGAGAAAATGCCAAGCCATTAGGACTACACAGCACTTGGAAGGGATCAGGATAAGGACTTGAGATGGGATGGAGAGAAGGAATGGTAGAGCTCATTAAGAGGTTGCAGCAATCTGTGGAGGGACTTTGGGGGTATGTGGAGACGCTGTGGAGGTATGTGGAGGGATTGTGGTATCTATGGAGGGGAGGTTGTAAGTGTTCATGAAAGGGTTGTGGGATCCTATGTTGAGGTTGTGGGCAGTTTATGTAGGGACGAGAAGAGATGACATGTGTGTATTTGGTAGTACTTTTCATATTTTTTGTATTACTAGAAACAACAATGAACCAAGGAGATTAATACCTTTATGTTTGGACATCCACATTGATCCCCAGAACACATGATTCGATATTCAGTTTTTCCTGCTGATGCCAGGAGAACAGCAACTACACAGAAAAGTGCCAGAAATATCAACTGTAGAACATATGGCACAATTGGGAAGAACAGTGTTGACATAATGCTACCCACAGCTCTGAAAATAGAGAATAATGTGTTGTCAAATGACTCAGCTCCTGTTATATTCTAATTAACAAAGCAATACTGTTTTATAAATTTTAGTAACATTAAAATTAAAGAGTTGATTGAAATGAAACAGCTCTCTCTGGGTGGCCCATTAGTGGCTCCCCAGAGCATCAGCACCTGCTCTACAGGGCTAAACTCAGCATGTTAAGCATATGTGACACTCCTGTCATATGAGAAATACACATCAAACAGAATCTTGACCTTTCAAAGAGGTGGGAGAAACACATCGGGATCAGAGAGCAAACCATGCATGGGGAAATCCTCCCTAAAAATTAAAACAGAGCCATAAAAACTTTTTTTTATATAGAAATGGTCAGTAGCAGCCAATCAGCAAGTAAAACTCTAGAACAACAACAAGACAAACTCACAACTACCACCTCATACCCTCCTGCTACCTGATGGCAGTGCTAGCCATCCAGAGCTCCAACAACAATTTACAATACAATACAATACAATTTTATTTAGGTAAGGTACATACATACAATAAATATTTACAAGGATTGTTTGACTTATAGGTAGAGCTAGTACATACAATGCCTAAAGCCACTATTACGCAAAGCGTTTTGGGCATAACAAGGCAAACCAACTCACACTTGAGCCCAAGCAAACCCAATCATCAGAAATAAGGAGGAAAAACAGAATGAGAAAAAGGAGTCATGGAGAATTACCCAAAAAACCAGCGATGAATGTAATGAAACACCATTTTCTGGGCAAGTCCTGGAGGCTCCTCGGAGCTATCCAGGCTGATAGGGATAGTTCTAACTTTTGGCATTAGTTGATGTGGGGGTGGAGTTCTAGGCCTACCGGGGACCACGGCCAGAACCTGGTCCCCTCAGAGAGGCACGAGGAGCAATGGCCCATAGAAATGCACATGTGATTATGTAGCATTCTATATCTGCCATCAACTGGGACAGGCACCCAGAAAGGTAAGCACCCAAAAACAAACCCCTATTCTGGTGAAATAATAAACATAAACAAACGAGTGGACAGAACTCCCCAAATGAAAACGAGCAAACACGCATGATGTCACAAGAGCCACACCGCATGTCTGCTCAGATCCCCCCCCTCCCCGGGAGGGAGAAGGGGGAGCCCCAGATCCCCGCGATGGTGATCCACACTGCAATTCTGAGACTGGATGTCAAAATACACGAAAAAACACCGACTGGAGGGAGGGAGGGTTGCCGGGGAGCCTCCGGGACTCACCCAGAAAATGGCCTTTCATTACATTCAATGCTGGTTTTCTGGGGAGAGCTACTTCACCAAAGACAAAATAAGAAAGGATTCATTCAGTGTCATTCTTCACCAGAAGAGAAGGAGACGGCTGCAGACGAACAAACCTATCTTGCAACGCGCGAGCCGCCTGCACCCGAATAATGTCATCATCAGATTGGGTGAACTGAGTCACAAATAAGCAACCAAATGCACAGGGCTTGGGGTCGAATGTGTCACTGACCCAACAGGCGGCACAACAGAGGGAAAAACAATGAGCATCACCATGAGATAAGGGGACAGAGCAACCCTCAAACTCGCAAAAAGCGGGAGGAGACTCAGGGGTCACATCCATTGGACCCGAGCGCCCCTGCGGGGTTTCCCAGGGGCCCCTAGACAGGGTCTGCTAAGGGTTATCCCAGGCAGGGTACTACTAATTGGTGCCCAAGCTACCAATCAACACTGCTAAAGCTGAACCCTTGGGATGTATCCACTCATGAGGGCGAAGTAGGGGGTACCACCAAACACAAATAACCCTAATACAGTATAAAGGGGAAAGGAACACCAAGGCAGACCCAACCAGGCAAAAATAAAAAGAAAAGAAAACCTTGCAAGAGGACAGTGTACCCAGAGGGAACAGACCCGGCTTCTGTTATAGGTGAAAACTAGCTGTGCTGCGCCCCTACCAGTGCAAAAATTACTACTTACCCCAAGGCAAACAAGGGAGGACTCTCCCAAAACACTCGGGGCAGTCAGTCGCCAAGCAGCAAAAGACCAACAGAGATAGACCCAAGGTGACTTGTGGAAGGGAACCCCAAGCCCCTAGGGCAGTACTTACAGGACCTATGCTGTTTCTGATATATGCAAATGATCCACCAGAGGGTATAGAATCATTCCTCTCATTGTTTGCTGATGATGCAAAAATTATGAGGAGGATTAAGAAGGAGGAAGATAGTATGAGGCTACAAGATGACCTAGACAGACTGCATGAATGGTCCAACAAATGGGTAATAACGTTCAACCCGAGTAAATGTTAGGTAATGAAACTTTATCAGTGGAAACAGGAGGCCAGATACAGGATACAGAATGGGAGATGAAATCCTTCATGAAACAGAGAGAAAGATCTAGGAGTTGATATCACCCCGAACCTGTCTCCTGAAGCCCACATTAAAAGAATAACATCTGCGTTGTATGCAAGGCTGGCTAACATCAGAACTGCCTTCAGGAACCTGTGCAAGGAATCATTCAGAACCTTGTATACCACATATGTATGACCAACCCTGGAGAATGCGGCCCCAGCATGGAGCCCGTACCTTGTCAAGCACAAGACGAAGCTTCAAAAAGTTCAGAGGTATGCCACTAGGCTAGTCCCAGAACTAAGAGGAATGAGTTATGAGGGCAGGCTGCGGGAAATGCACCCCCACGACAATGGAAAACAGAAGAGTAATGGGAGACATGATCACTACCTACAAAATTCTCAGAGGAATTGACAGGGTAGATAAAGATAAACTGTTTAACACAGGTGGTACACAAACAAGGGGACACAGGTGGAAACTTAGTACCCAAATGAGCCACAGTGACGTTAGAAAAAACTTTTTCAGTGTCAGAGTAGTTAACAGATGGAATACATTAGGCAGTGATGTGGTGGAGGCTGACTCCATACATGGTTTCAAATGTAGATATGATAGAACCCAGTAGGCTCAGGAATCTGTACACCAGTTGATTGACAGTTGAGTGGCAGGACCAAGGAGCCAAAGCTCAACCCCTGCAAGCACAACTAGGTGAGTATAAGGCACTTAGGGAAGGTGACCCTAAGCACACGCAGCCCGAGTACCTGTGAATATTACTCCCAGCTCACACACCACCAGAAGAGCAGTACTGAACAGAAGACAGCACAACAAAAGTCCGGAGCTGGAGCCATGATGACACTGCAGACAACCTGAGAAAGACAAGGCTTTAAACAAGAGATCAAGGTAACAGGATCAACCTACAAGGTATCCACCAAAGCAGAAGCAGTGGCTCGAAGGTAGCAATGGAGAGCTACTGTTGGATGCAAAACACCCCTGGCCAAACCAACCTAGCATCAACAACCAACAGACCCCTCCAGAACCAAAACCCATTAATTCTTTGCAAGAAAAGAAGGAGCCAGCTGGAGGTGAAGAAACTGCCCCCCAAAGCTGAAAGAACAAAAGCCCAGCACCGTAGAAGACCATGAAGTTCACCAACATGGCAACCGTAAGCCAAGGAAACCAAGACAAGAGCTTTGAGAAAACCATTCCAGACCTAAGGGGACACTATAAACTGAATGGAAGATAGAAAATAGACCACCTGGTCCAGAGACCAAACAGGTTCTGGCAGTGCATGAGCACTGCCAGAATTTGACAAACAGGAAAAGGTCCAAAGACACCCCACTAAGTGGCTTCCAGAACTGAAGGACAAGACAAGTCTGGGAACAGGGGACCAGGGAAACGGTATCAACCCACAAGGCGTCCACGGACGCAGAAGAGATGACACAAAGGTAGCAACGGAGAGCCACCACCGGACACAAAACATGATGTACCCCTAGGCCATATCAACCAAACTTGGGGTCACCTTCCACAAGTTCCTTAGGTTCTGCCGTTTACTGCTTGGTTTTCGGCCACCCTTTGTGTGCTAGGGTGTCTGTCTTCCATGTTCGCCTTAGGGTAGGGAAAGTTTGCACTGGTAGGGGGCGCAGGGTATCGCACAGCTTGTTTTCACCAATCATAGCGGCCGGCTCTGTTCCGCCTGGGTACGTTGTCCTCTTGCAAGGTTTTCTTTTTCTTTTTGTTTGTCTGCCTGGTGGGGGGGGAGGGGGTCTGCTTTGGTTCTTGCCCCCTTTGTACGGAGCACTCTTCCTTCTTCCGGTGGTTCCCCCTGCTAGGTCCCCGTGAGTGTACATGTCCCATCGGTTCAGTTCTTAGAAAGTTGTTTGGTATTTGTGGGCACCAGTTAGCAGTACCCTGCCTGGGATTACCTGGGCGTGAGTCCCTATAGGTAAATGCACAGGACCCTGGGAAACCCCGAGGGAGCACGTGGGTCTGATGGATGTGGCCCCGGAGACCCCCCTCTCACTTTGTGCGAGTTCGAGGGTTGCTCTGTCCCCTTGTCTCAGGATGACTCACTGTTTTGCTTCTGTCTGCTGCCTGTGGGGTCGGTGGTACCTTCGGCCTGGAGCCTTGCGAGTTTGTTGTTTGTTTGTGGCTCGATTACCCAGTTTTATGCTGACTATGTGGGTGCAAGTAGCACGGGTGTTGCAAGTTGAGTTTCAGTGGTGCAATGCGCTAGGTCGTTTGCTCCCCGGAAGCCTCGAGATTGCCCCGTTTTGGTTGGTGTGATGGGGCTTGGGGGGTGTTGGATGCTTCGGTTTTGTTCCTGCCACACCCCCTTGTCTTTCCCCTGTTATGGTCTCTCCCTTTCCTCCCTGCATCCAGATCCTTACCGTTTGTGGGATAGGGATCGGGGCGGGGCTTCGATGGTCTTGAGACTTGGGCGGTCTCGGGGATTTCCCCCTTCCGGGGTATTGACAGAGGCATTCGAGCCTCTTCCTCCAGTCGTGTTGTATGAGTCTGCCAGTGGGCTCCCTTCCTTAGTACTTTTCCAGCTGCCCCAGCTATTTCTTGTGAAGCTGGGGCTTTGGGGGGACGGTTCAGCCCCGGGGCCTGTTGTGTGGGTTCCCGAGGCTGGAGAGAAGCTGACTTGGGGGGGGGGTCTCTGGCCCCA